TGTCTCATTATGGACTCATTTTATTAAACAGTGTTTCTGAACTGGTTTTCATTCACAAACAATTTGGACTTCGTCCAAAGAACCACATAAACAATGCATTAAAATAACAGGATTTATCTGTTAAATATTTTACACCTCATGCAGCCATGTGGCGATCAGATAAACAGGACACAGCCGTGCTCGATTGTTGCTTTCCTTCTGTTTTTGTGTCAGTTGACTGACCTCTGCCGTGCACATGGCCACCGTTCATGTTCGCATTTATGTCTCTGTCATGTGTTTTCCCTCTGTATCCCGCCCATTCCTGCTGAACACTGTTAGCAAGATACAGAGTGCGGCACAGGATTATGGGGAAGAAGTGAGAGATGGATGGAGAGTGGCAGAAAGAGAAGAAATATGAGAAATAAAAAGGGGCAGATGTGAGGAGCAAGAAGCAGGAAAAGAGTGAGTTGTGTCAAATGGATAAATGTCAGCGGGAAGATTCAACGTCTGTCTGAGCTGAGCTCTCCCTCCCAAAATGCCATGTGTAAATTGCGTAGCCGGGGCCCTCGGCCAGCCTTCCCCTAGCACTGTAATGAGATTACAGACCTCTACAACACTCTGTGTGTGTGCGTGTGAGACAGAGAGAGAATACTATTGAGCCTGCGTGGAAGTGTACAATTTCGATGGCTTACACGGGGCAAGCGAATAAGCGGCATTACTCACACCACCAAACAAGACGTATCGAGGAAGATTCAGCTACTTATTTATCATTCCACACACACACAGTGGACTTTTTTTCACCCCTCTCCATGCTTACAGCGCATGAGCTGCAGAAAAGAAGTGCAGAGGCTGATTTTTATCAATGTGGGTTATTATAATAAGCCTCTTGTTGCCTCTCTATGATGAACTTTTTATATAACTTTTAACCTCGGTGAGCAACTTGTGAGGAAGTCTTTATTGGATTTTACAAATATATAATAAACACATGAAATCTTTATTATAGACAGTATACGCACCATGTGAAATAATACAGCCTCCATGGGAACACTGCAGCAGCATTATGGTGATACTACAGGAGATTTAAACATAATTAGGTATGATAACTTTACTAAAAGCATACTGTGAGTCTCTATACAGGAATATACTTTCCTACAGTCCAATGCCTCATCCATCATCTCATTATAATTAAATATTTACACTGAGGAACAATATAGGCCTATTACTACTGTTTCCTGCTCCTGTTTGTGAGCACATGATGTTTACACCACGGCTTCTCCTCTCAGACTAGCCTTTTAGACCTTCTTCCAAATCTAATATACCCATCCATAAATAGCTCACCTATCGAGCCCATATTTGGCATGAGTGACGTGGCACCGGAGCCAATCCCTCCCGCTGAATCTGCCTAACCCCGCCTCTCCACGCTCAGTCGCCGCTCAAATAACTCCTCACCCGCCCATTCGCCTTAAATGGACGAGCCGAGGAGTTGATTGACAAACTAAACAACGCCCCTTCGTTTACCAAGCCCCTCCCCTCCTCTGGCTCCCCTATCAGTGTCTAGTTTGGCAACACGGATACGCATGGAGCCTCCATCACCTCCAGTCTCTTTTACGCACCGAGTCCGATAATGCGCGCAGGTACAGGGACCCTAATCGCCACATTTCCAGCCGCCACACTGAGCAATTAATCTCCTCTTATGGACTAATATGAAAGAAGTGGATGCAGAGGTCTGACACAGCCAAGAAAGGAGGCATATTTCTTGTGGATCGTTCTTGTTTTTCCATCACCGAGCGTCAGCATGGATGTCTTGGCGAACCACAGTATCTTTCAGGAACTTCAACTCGTTCACGACACCGGCTACTTCTCTGCCATGCCCTCGCTGGAGGAGAACTGGCAGCAGGTAATGTCTCAACTTTACATTGTAGCCAGCGTGCGTCCTCCCTGACAGAGCTTTAACCACACAGTCCCTCACGCTGATTTGGGTTCACATGCGCTCGAAATGCAGCCGACAACTTTTCCCCCGAAGCGTGGATGTGTGTGGTTCGGGGATGAAATGCTTTATATCACTCATATATCTGACAATTTTTTCCGAGAGATGGCAAAGTAGATAAGATGCGAACGCACGCCGGCGCGTAATAAAGCTGTCAAATGCGATTTGGGAAGATGAAGATCCAGATCTCATAATAGGGACTGAATTGGTCGTGAATAATACATCTGTATCCCTCAGATTACTGAGTTGTGAACCCCCTCCGCATGGAGAGAAGTCCCCTCTCAGATTCATAATAGATTTCCTAACATGTCTGGCTTTGTACCATCTTTAAATGCAGTGGTGAAAAAAATGTGCGAAGGCATTGCAAAGGAATAGGAATACCTGTCATCTGCATGTTCGCTTGCGCCCTCCCCTCCACACACACACAC